GAGCTGGGCTGTCACCGCTTGGCCGCCGGTGGGGGGTTTGGGAGGCCGCATCGCACACAAACACGCACACGCTCCCTCAACTTCCACGAACGCACACATACGCAGACTCGTTTCCACACGGACATAGACACACGCACAGAAACCCACACACTACCTCAACTCACTCGACTTAACACTTCTCACTACACACTTACCGGATAACTCGCACTCTGATTTCCTACGTGATGAAAAATGCTTTCGGGCCACTCGTCGTCTAGTTTTCCTGCCTCTCGCGTTCTCTTCTCTTCCCGCTGTCCTACCTTTCGTGTCTCCCTCCTCTCAAGTTGATGGAGACATGGGGCATACACGAAATCCCAAACCGAGCGCCGCCTCTTCCGGAGCAGGCAGTCATAGCTATGACAGGCTGGGCATTCTTCCAGCAGCATTCTTCCTTTGGGGTTTCCCTGCTTATAGCCTTTATGGCATGCTTCGTACCGGCGAAGTGCTTTTGCTGGAGAATTCAGATATGTTTTTGAGCTCCATTCGCACCCCCACAGTAGTATCACTTGGCATGACCACTTGGCATGTCAAAGGCAACGCATCTCCAAAAGCGTCACCCTCACGCCTCAGATGGTCTTGAAGTGGGTTTGGCAGCTGGACACAGTGCAACTCCACGTGTGCTGTGTCCCAGCATTTTAGCCCGGAGGGCTTTAATCGTTTAACCAGTGTTGAAACCAGCTTGAACCTCGGCACGAGGCCACATGGCGGTTTTCACGCCAGGTTCCTTGGACAAGTTGTTGCCTGGCAGGCGGCAAAAACTGTATATCAATGAGGGGTTAGCCGTGCTGGCTGATCTCAAGCTCCAACAAAGACGTTGTGCATTTTCGAAAACATTTCACTCGTTTGTCCCAGAGATGCACTTGAGTTCGCATCATAGCAACTGAAAAAAGGACGTGGATACAGTGCTGGAGCGAGATTCGTTTTTGGATTTTCCTTGTCTATTTTGTCACTCAAGCTTAGTGCCTTCCGCTTTCCGGCTTGGTGGAAGGGACTGTGTATGGCGCCCCTATCAACGAGCGTTTCCCCGCGGGGAAAGGACTCCGGGAGAGATTCCACTGCCCTATCTATCTTATTCTTTTGATTCACCTGCCTAGCGCATCGAGCAACAAGAAGGCCGACGAGTTTGTACATAGCCTCTGATTCGTAGGGTGATCTGTTCCCCATCCCCTTTGCTTCCGCCCCCCGCCGCTGGCTCCCGACTGGAACCCCCCCAGACTGGGGAAACCCCACACCGAGGCCTCAAGAGCTTCCACTGGATGAGCTACTGCGAGTGGAAAGCTTCAACTTGGACAAAGTCATCCAAGAGCCACGCGGCGAACCACCCGACGGTTCACGAAGGGGCTGGGGGTGGGAAACGGCGGAACGGAACCGCCGGTGGTCGTTGGAAAGACGTGGTTGGAACGGATGTTGGACTGGGGTTTGGGATGCCCTGGATTTGATGATTTTGGACTGTGATTCTTCTATATTCTCATATATTCTCCTTAAATATCCTTAAATTGTATTCCTATTAATGCTAAAGGATTCTTCCTTGAGTCGAGTGATTTCGCAAGTCGACAGCCCTTTGCGCTCTCCACGCACCGACTGTCTTCGCCGGCCTCGCCTTGTCCTCTTCAGGCTGGGCACCCAGGAGCCTCCGCTGAAGCGTGCGCGCCACGGCCACGAGACCGACGGTCACGGCCACGAGACCGACGGTCATGGCCACGGGCGCCTTGGATAGCATCAATGGCCTGTTCCAGCCGCACCGCGCCCGAGCCCGGCGCCGTCTCCGAGCTGTTCACCCCACGCGGTTGAACGGTGGATGGGTGGGATGGGATGGTGGAGAAGGCGCGAAGACGTTGGTTCGGTCGACCGGGTGCATTGACCGGGTGCTTCTGGAAAGCATCTTATAAGTCTTATGCAACGTTTGCAGAAGCGCCCCGGAAGCTCCTCGCATTCTTGGGAACCGCCTTTTGGTAGTTCTTTCCCCATGGACGGACATCGCCCAGAAAAAGGACGCTTGCAGACATGGCGTTATTTTTTTCATCTGGGTTGAGCTGTTTTTGGCTTGATGAGTACCTTGGACCTTCACGTGGACGCTTGAACCAACAACACCTGCACGTGGACGCTTTTGGGGAAGCGCGCACCTCGGTCCGTGTAGGTGGTGTAGGCCGTGTCCGCGGCGTCCGGACGGCACTGTTCGGAGGGTCCGAAGATCCCCGGTCTTCGGGACTCGGAGCCGTTCTGGATCTCGGAGTGGTGAAAAAGAACACGAGCAGGGTTCAGAAGGGGGAATGGTCTGGTGGAGTTTTCGGGCAAAAGAACAAAACTAGATCTGCATTCATCTGCTTGAAAACGATCTGGATTTCGGTGCAGTCTCTTTTTGGACCTCTGCAGTCATTCAGATTGACCATGTCGCCTTGGCAGCTATGGCAAGTGGTGCTGCGACGGGTAAAACGTGTCAATCTCAATATAGCTCAACCAATCGTCCTCCATGGCAGGGGTCGGACCCAACACCTTCGCAGGGGTTCAGACCCGAAACAAACCCAATGTGTTGCGGAACGGGCCGGGATTCTTAGGGCCACCATGACTCCCGGCTGACTCCCGTTTCGCCTTCCAAGGCACCTCCATGGGCATGAAGAAGCTCCGGAACGCTCGCGGCATGATTCGGGCGTGGGCACCTGTAGCTTCTTGGCAGCAGTTCTGGGCTGGATCGGCTCGGCTTGGATCGGCTTCCGTTGGTGATGACATCCCAACAAGGGTTGTTAATGCATGGACACCTATTTGATGACCTGCAGCACATGAAAGGTTTCTGCGTTGAGAAACTAGGATCACAATGGTGAAATTATAAGTACTGTGATGAACTAAGTAAGTTCTACCATACCGAGACCATCCATGTATGGAATAGTTATATACCTTATAATATCATACATGGAGTAACATGTAGGTAGCTTTTCCTAAGGAACGGTGAATCCATAGCCGTCAAGAGTGAGGCAGGTGAAGCAAATGCTGGTTGAAACCAACGAGGCAATGACAGAATGGGTTCGGAAGATTGGGGCCAGAGAACGTTGAGATCCTGACCACAACAACTTGCCTGAATAATGGTGTAGATATGTCGTAGATCATGTTTCTTTGATGCACCCCTTGACTGAATCTCCAACTTTCGACCGACTCCAAGGGTTCATCCTCCTCTTTTCATGTGAACAAATGCTCATTGTTCACGGTCCGGCTCTGAACCGATAAGAGCAGGTTTCGTGCTGCACAAGCCGCTGGTGCTGGAGCGCTTCAGACAGGCCCGGGGTGTGGGCTGTTGAACTTCACTTCGTTGGCTGTTGCGGTCGCCGCTTCAGGGGCTCACAACGCGACGGGGCGGCCCTCCGTCTTCCAAACAGGAAGCTGCAAACGGGGTTGCTCCATGACAGTTCCCCAAGCGGGCGAATTGGAGAAGGGTCATGTGGACACGCGGCGACCAGTGAGTTTCGGAGATCTTCAGACGCAAACGCAAGGGTGGTTGCACTGGGTTTTCTTGTAGTGGATGGCCACATGCTCATTTGGTACTTGATGCTTCATCCAATGTACGCAGCCCGGTCATGTTGGTCACGGTCATGTCTGGGAGGTGATGAATGCCCTGCGTGCGGAGCATGCGGTGGACTTGTACCGATACAAGGTGGGACGGATCGGGCCCAGCGTGGTGGCATGGCCAAGCCTAGGTGGCATGGCCAAGCCTAGCAAGCGTGAGGCGACAAACCACCTTTCTTTTTATTCACACACTGACAGGGTCATGAAGACTCTTGATCCAAAACACCACCCCGTACAATTGGATTAAACGAATCCCTTCATGTGAAGGGGTTATATAATAACATATATATGGTAATATATATACCAGCACCCTCCAACAGTTCTCCTCTGGTGGCTTTTGGAGACTTAAAAGTCGCAGGTGGTGACCTGTTGGAGGGTGCTGGTATATATTGGTTTTATACATCAAGAGTCTCGGAAAAAACTCCGGACAACCCGATGAAAACAACAAGCGCCTTTCCTTCCCTCCCCATCAATCAGTTCTGGGGTCTGGGAGGTAGGAACCGGCTGAAATCTCTCCAGGATCGTCAGCAACACCATGTCGTTCCAGGAGATCTGTCCAGTCTGTCTAATCCCAGTCGGTCCTCATTTTAATAACGTTTGATGGTTTGGCCGAGAAGGTTTCTTCCACCCTAGGCCAATCCGGTTTTGAGGGAGCTTTTGGGCGTGTCTGGGCATGTTTGGGCTCTCAGATCCTGGAGTGTCGTTTGCACCACTCGACCCGTTGGTACAGAAGCCTCAGGAGTGACTTCTTTCGTTGGTTGGTGAAACATGGCCACGTGTTGCCCCAACGTGAGCCAAAGAGTCTCAGCAATTTTCTGAAACGGGTCGTTCTTTTCCATTCCTTTCCTTCCCTGGGTCAAGCCCTATGTAACTAGATCTTCCAACGACATGCATCATTTCTGCCTGTCATCCACAAAAACCGGCCACGTTCTGCAGAACTTCTGCATGTCGGTTCAACAAAAGATCCAGGTATCCAACAGAGGTTCAATGGAAAAAGGACCCATCACCTGGGGGTACCTTTATATCAGATAGTCTAAAAGACAGGGTTCTTCCACCTCTGCGGTTTTTTTCAGCCCTGGCTGTGGACCGACTCCGGGTTTCAAACTCTGAACTCCGCAGAGGGACGTGGAACAACGAACCGTTCGGTTGCAGCTTTTGGGTATGGGAAGGACCTGGGTTTGTAAGATGTGGTGTTTTGGTCGTGTAACATCCGTAAAAACCGTAAAACCAAGGGTTCTTCGGTCATAAAGGTTCACCAACATGGTGGTGCCCCAGCTCTGCAGGGCATGGTTTGCGTGAAAGAGACCAGTGGCAACTTGCGGCGAGCTGTACTTCAAGGTGTCCATGACCCTTGCGCTCCATCTTTGGTCTTTTTTCGGCTCCCGCGACGGGTGGGAGGTTTCGAGCATGTAGGTTTAGAGGCTTCTTCGGGGTGGAGTTTTGGGACATCAAGACAGGACACTTGGTGGTTGGCCAGTGGTTCCCACTGTGGCACATGGTTCTCTTTCCGCCTACTTGAGCCCAAAAGCTCCAAAAGCTCGGACTGCTCCGGACGTAAAGAGCCTGCGCGACGAACGGTTGTTCGATGCGACCTTTTCTTCCAAGTGACATGCCATTTAAAGGGCTACCCAAACATCGCCGAAGCTTCACATCGTCGAACCTGCGAACCCTGCGTACCCCCACTCGTCTTGGCCCTGTTTTCACGGAATGCGTTCGAGATCCACTCAGACTTCCCCTGAAACAAAAATCCACTCCAACTAATTCTCCCCATGAACAAATCCAAACTCCAAATTCCACTCACCAAGTCCCAGTGCGCAGCACGTGCCACTTCTGGACACCACCTCAGCTACTTCTGGACAGCACCTCAGCCACTTCAACAGCTCAACCTGGCCCGAGGACATGTGTGAATTCGAGCCCCGTGGCGACTGGCCCGGTGGAAAGCCGACGATCTCGCAGCTGGTGCCTTTTCCGCTAGAGAGGAAGAGGTGAGAGGTGGTGAGAGATGGACGCGGTGTGATGAGGTTTTGTGGAGTGTGGGGGTGGCCACTCTTGACTAGGGGTGGAGAGGTTGAAAGACATGATTCTTGAACACCCTGAAGGTTCTTGGGCTTCGCTTGGACGAAGAGAGAAGTCACCACAAAGTGTGGGAGGACGCACGACGGTCACGACGGCCGACAGTGAATGCATGTGAACGCTGTGACATGCTTGTGAAACACACACACACACACATCAGACGAATATGTCTGTGCCAGGAGTCACACGGAGTTTGGGTGGTTTGGCTCGTCCCATCCAGGGCGAGCTCGTGGAAGTGACGTGACGTTCGGGGAACCGGTATCCTCCTTCCTCCGGGACCGGGACCGGCTGTTCAAGGTCTTCATTGGACGAAACTTGGAGAAGGAGAAGTGGCGGCGGCTCTTCGAAAAGTGCCACTGGGCCACCCAAAAGTCCGAGACATGAACCATGGGCGAATCTTTGCAAGAAGCAAGCAGCATGTGGGGAGAGTCAAAGGGCAGCATCGCCCCCGGTGTTGGAACCTTCGGTATTCATTTTGCTTTAACCCGGCAAGATGATCGGTGTTGTAGATTTCACAAGGTTGCAAGGAAACCCTTTGTGTCCACGTGCCCTGTTTGATTCGACCCGGTCCTTCATTTTGGAAAAGACACCCAAAACACTAGGCAACAGGCCCGCCCGGGCGGCCAGTCCGTCCGCAATTCCGCTACGGGCTATTGGTCCTTTAGATTTGACTTGAACAGTGATGTTGGGGAGCTTGAACAGCTTCTTTGCAGAACTGTTTGATCAAGATCGCAGAGTTCTTCTCTGATCGCCGCGCCCCTCAACCCTCCTGGATCCGATGGAGACCTTCGGTCCCGAGCCCACTCGGATTTTTGGGACTGACCAGGTTTTGCAGACTCTTCCCGAACCCTGTCCGGACCGGTCCTTCGTGGGAAACTCGGGCGACGCCACTCACGGAGGGCTTTCGAGAGCCGACCAGGTCAATTGGGTCTCCTTGATGAGCCATGAGATCCCAGATCTGAGCGAGCCAGCGAGCTGTTCGCGCGCCCGAAGAAGCGCGCGAGCCGTCTGCGCGTTCGCGCAGCTGCCCGACCTCACGAGTTGATGGTGACGTGAGGGGGTGCGCCGCGACAGAGTGATCCGGCACGTCTGAGTCCCAAATCAGCAGTAGTGAGGGGTGAAAGATGAAAGTCTGGAAGGGTTGGCAAAAGCCCAGCCTCATTCCAGTCACCTTGGTTGACAAAAGCATGGCCTTAATGGACCGTGCACGTGTTTTTCCGGAGAACTCTTGGGTGCGGAACTGGCCCACAGAGTCTCACTGCTTTGGACAGGGCCCTTCCACCCAACCCTCCATGCTGGGTCTCCCTGTTGGTGGTTTCGGTGCTGGTAGACACCGCAAGGTCCGGTCTTTTGCACCACTGTTTCGGTAGACCCGGATCTGACCGGGTGACAGAAACGAGTTCGGAGTGATCACGGCAGCAAGGTCGTGACGTCCAACGAGTCCGGGTCCAGACCGCTCGTGAACGAGCGAGTTCTCGATGGGTCACACCAGGTCGTGAACAGTTCTCTTCAAGAACATGTACACATCCGGTCGTTCCGAAGCTCACGGTTCGGAACCCTGGATGTGACGAACACCACCGAAACCTGGTCGCATGAAACCTGCGAAAGGCCCGGGCGCTTTTCTCGCGAAAGGGGGACCTGTGCTGCCCTGTGCTACCAACGATCATTCGAATGAACTGTATGAAGACCAGCGCCGCGTGGTGCCGCTGGTCACATGTGTTCGATGCCTTTGGGGGAAGAGCTGTTCGATGCCTCGTCCCGTTGAACACATGAACCATGTCACCTGTGGAAGGGGCGATCGGACGCTACGAACGGGGCTCCTGACTTTGGGTGAATGGCGCCATGCTGCCGGAGTGATTCGGCTGAAGCCCCAGCAACACACACGATTGTTCCCACATGGGACCGACCTGGTAGTGTGAAATCCTTCGTAAAATTGTTCAGGATGACCCGGCGACTAAGTCAATGGTTGTTGGAAGCCTATACCAGCACCGAAACCAACAGGTCTCCTTTGGAGGGTTGTTAGGCCCTAACAGGTTTCAATTCGTTTGCCCTGCGGTTTTGCCCTGCGTTTCGCAGGAAGCGATGCGCACCCGGCGAGCCGATTCCGGCGAGCTTGCGCGCGGCGGCGATCTTGAGCTTCGAAGGGGAGGAGGCGGCAGCGTGGAAGGAGAGGAAGGAGCTGGGTGGGGAAGAATTGCGTGAGAATGGGAATCCAACAAGTGTTATGTTTTTTGGGAGGGGAGATCAGTGTGCAACATGTCTGGGAAGGTGGCTGAAAGGAAGGTCTGAAGAAAGCGATACCCTGGGACACCTGGAGAACCACTTGAGGTGACTTGAAGGAAGATCTGAAGAACAGAACATCTGACTCAGCCTGGAGAATTGTTGGGGGCCCGTGCGCACGGCCAGATTAGCTTCGAAGAATTCCTCCTGTGGCCGGGGACACAGTTGGCGGTGTGATCGATGGTTGGATTGGTTGTGTGGGGTAGTTCACTACCCCAACAATAAATGGGACTGGAACATTTGTGCCGGTCAGGCCAGGGGCGATTTTTTAGATGTTTTCTAATATTTTTAAGGGTCAATGTAGGTTTCTGTCATCCAGTCCCATGGATGGTCTGTAGACTGGTCCATGTCCCGAACCAAACCCAGGGGGTCGGAACTAATTCATATCCATAAGTTGATACAGATCCAGGTACTTAAGACTTAAACTCTTTGTAAGATGGATGACATGATACTGAAGGACTTCCTCAGCGTGAACATGTTCTTTGCAGATGTTGGCATGATAGTCACTTTTCGATCCCCGCATAGTTTTAAAAAAAGACGGACCACTGGAGATACCATGAAATACCCCCGCTGAAGACCACATGGACCCTGATTTTCTCACTCATGCAGCCGGACAACCGTCCCATCACGAATGCCAGGACCTCAGGGAGTGTACAAGTGAGTTTCCGGGAGTGTACCTCAACAAGTTGGAGGCCATTGCTTCTAGGTTTTTCAGGCCATCGCTAGTAGGTACCTCAACAAGCCCACCCAAAGAAGTCAGCCCAAAAAGCGCGGGTTTTGGGTCAGGACTCCTTTCTCGATCCATCGATCCGCATGATCCAGCGCCGTGTGGTGTTGTGGTCGATCGATCACGAAGACCAAGCAGGTTTACCTCGCCGCGTTGGGGGGGTCTGCGTGGTTGAAAAGACTTCCCCTGAAACCAGGCACATCACCTCTGGGCCCCTGGGCTGCCAGAGTGAATTCTGCAAGTCCACACCTTTGCCAAGCACCTCCACACCTTGACACACCTTGACTGAGGTCTCAAACCACCACCTTCGTCGAGGCCGAAGTCGGTCCGGCGATCTGCGCACCACCTCGGCGCACGACCCCCGGCCACGCCGAGAATCCGACCCCAGCACAGATGGCCGGAGCTACAGCCTTGGTGGGTTGAAAAATGGATGAACCCCCTGTGAACAGCAGGGTTCGGCCCCTTCTATGGAGGGTCCAAGGATCCCCTAAAAGAACTGAATCCAGGACCAGGAATCGACTTCCAGTGGGCGCAAGAGATCGTCACCAGCCACACAAAGAGATCGTCAAAGCGCACCCCCTAGCCTTGGTGATGGTCGACCTCAAACAGAACGTCGAAACACTTGGCACATGCCCAAACCGCCCGGGATCATCCTCGGTAAATCTGGATGGGCGATCGAGAGAGGTGGGGACGGTGGCATCGCCACGCACCGGGTGGGGGGGGGAGTGCTCCCCCCGGTAAAAAGAATGGGAGAACCCAGAGGCTCCGCTCACTGCCCCTGGTCCCTCAAAAGCTATAGGGATTGGTTCGACCCCAGAATCTCGGGTCCGACCCCTCCACTGAGCGTGTGGGAAGCACGATTTGCCCTGGTTTTGACGGGTTTCGGGTGAATGTTTTCTTTTCCCGAACTGGGTAAATCCCCAACCTAAACGGATTTGTGATGCTGTGTGATAACAAACTACTTTACAATATTTTAAAATATGACTCATAAAATATATGAAGGAATCACACATCCTAAGAATACAACAATTATAGCTTCATTTTTGTTAATCCCTAAGGATCGTTGGACCCTCACACTGAGGTACTCGACCCTCACACCGAGGGTTTGGGCCCAAAACCTCTGCCAGCGAGGGTCCAGGTCCCTCACTGTCTTTGGCCCGAGGGCCCCGAGGGTCCAAAGGGTAGCTGCTTGAGGATTGGATTGGGAATGAAACCCTAGCATGAAGAGTAAACGTCTCTTTTGGTTTGGAATATGATCCCCGGATGTCATTGGAAGTGATGTGGGTTGGTGTGTTGAACCATCAGTGATGTTCCGACTGCGATCTCTTTTCTTGGCACGCATGATCTGTGCCAAGCAATGGAGCCACTATGCCCCGCCTGGCCACGTATGGAGGACAGCCGGAGAACAGGGAGCGCTGTTGAAGAACGGTGCCAAGACTTGGTTGTCCATGTACCCATGGTGCCAAAAGTTGGTTGTTTATGCACCCTCCATCGTCAGGGACCTTTGTGGCTCTGAGGCTAGGCCAGGTGCATCTAATTGCTGTAGACAGGTGCAGCCATGGATGGAAAGGAAGCTGATGTCATCAGCGCCCTGCTTAATCAAAATGACTGCAATGTGTCTAAAGTGCCTAAAGATGTCTAAAGTGTATGACCCTTTTTTTCACCACTGCCTCTCACAATTTGATTCATGATCTCAGGTGCTATAAAGATGGCACTTCCTGCTGAAACTTTGTTAGCTTGCAGCCAGACGCCCCCACCATCCAATACATTGTTCCCGTCTATCAACCCGACCCGGGTCACTTATGAAAACTTGACATCGCATCTTGGTCTAGTGCTTCGATTGTTTGAGATGAGCCCACAGGGTAACTTGGACCTCAAGCTGCAAGTCGCCTGAAGTGTTTACATGTTTAACCATGTGGTGCATGGTGCTTTGGTGCGAGTAGGAGGGAACGATGTGAATAAACATGGGTCCATGAGGTGAATACACTGCAACCTTCCTCAGCAATATCTTCCAAGTCATGGACAAGGATGCTGCGTTTCATTTTTCTCAGGCACGTTACTTGCGTGACCGTCGCACATGGGCCACTGGGGATCTTTGGCTTTGAAGGGTGCCACACCTCAGGCACATGCCACATGTTGTAAGCATGTCATGTTGGGCAGAATCTAAGGAAGCATGTGCATTGTACAACCTCCTGAGCTATGCCAGAAGATATTGGCGCCGCTCCCTAACACGGCGCAATGTGACTGAGGCCTAGCTTTATGTTTGTGAAATGAACAACCTGTGCACGTGTAGTCTGAAGTGAATACCTGTGAAACGATGGACTAGCTGTTCTGCACAATTTGCTTCGCCACAGATTGGAGTGCAGCTTCAAGCTGTCATGGAACCCAACGAGCGGAGGGCCAGGCCCACCTGCAAGAAGAGCGCCACGAAGACCCCGCTGCCTGCCGATGTTCCGACCAGGGAGGAATCAAGTCAGGTCGAAGCTGGTGAACCGAGTGGTGATCATCCCCTTGGGGAAGTTCAAATTTGGGAAATTTCCGACGGTGAAAGTTGTTCGATACTCAGGGTGTTGTCGTTCAAGATTTGTGGACGGTGTGATGTCATTGTGTTAACAAGTCGGTGGAGCATGCTGAAGTGTTACTGCCCATAGCAACCCCATGTGCCATGACCTGCAACTGCGCATCAGGTGACTTCATGGAGCCTGATCACGATCACCATGTAGATGTGCTACCGGAAGGGTCTGACGCCAAGACTCAACCTCCACAGGATTCTGTTCCTGTGCAAAGCTGTGGTGATGTGCGCGTGGATGATAGTGAGATGATTGCCACACAGGTCTTGGAGCCTAAGCGACACTTAAGCTGTGGGTATGTTTCGCAAATGTTGCGCACCCCATGACTTTGAGACAGTTTTTGTATGTTTTGACTGAGGAAACTCTCGACA